TCTGATTGATTCGCATTTGATAGAGACTATCCTTACCCATCCGTGACTTCTTTTTGCAAATGTCTGATGCAAGATGTGTTGCCATAGACTTTGGGCCAGCAGACTTGATTGCAGGATGCGTAAGGGCCTTCGAACAATAGGTACAAATGACACATGGTTCTCCAGAAAGCCGGTCTGCTCCTTGGTGATAAATTCTCCAGTATTGAGAACTCCGGTTGGTTGAATCCCATGCAATCTTCGTAAGAAATTTTCTAGTATGATCTGAGTGTTGTTCATACCATCGTGATAGCTTCCACCACTCAATGAATACATCGTGTGTATCCTTAGTCCATTTGATGAATTGGTTTAATTTGCCAGTATATTCGAGGCCCGCAGGGATTTGATTTAATGAAGGTAGTCGTTGAGAAGAGGGAAGAGAGTCTGAGAATATATTAGAAATAGGATTGTCAGAGTCAAACAACTCTGAATATTGCGATGACATTTGGCAAGTAGCAAATTGTTTGATTATCAGAAGATTACCAGAAGTCTGGCTACGATGAAATACTTAAATCTCTATAGCCCCTATTCGCGTCGGAAAATCAAATACTCCATTTCTCTCCTCTACTCTAACTCCAGAAACAACATATCCTGTGCAGCTGATACCTTAGCCCACTTTTCCTTATCAAATTTCTTAGAGTAGACAAGTAAGAACGCCTCTTTGAAGCTAGAACTATGAGTGGAGACTTGTAACCATCCGTTGTCGACAAGATTGTAAGACTTTGGGTACCACTGCGCAGGTCCTGGTAATTGGGCCCACTTTCCAAACTTCCAAGCTGTAAAGTTTGTCCAAACTGCCTGCTCGTACAAACAGAAATATTTATGTGGTGGGATAACGTTGTGAAAAGTGCTATAATAAACAATTAGTATCTCTAGAAGATTGCTAGAATGATCAGAGACGTACCCTTCTTCTACATCAATCCATGGCATATATTCAAAGAGATGCTCAGGCTTCTTTCTCAGCTTTCCAGCCTTTCTCGTATATGAGCGGATACAGCTATCCCAGAAATGTTGCCACTTGCGGAAATTGGACTCTTCATGGGCCTATCAACCGTTAGTATTACCAGAAGATTACCAGAAGATTACCAGACTATGAGGTACCAACATCAATGCGTGCTTGAGTTAAGAGAGCCTGGATGCTAGCGATCTCTTCATCAGAAAGCTCATCTGGTAGAACAGCCTCGTCATTTAAAATATCGTCGCGCCGTAACATAAGCTCCAACTCTAAATCGTCTTCAACCTCAGTATCCTCCCATTCGCTGTTATGATCGTCATCGATTGGGATACTGGTGATACCCTCAAATGCAGCAAGCTCAGACAGAAGTTGTGGCGGAGTAGATGGTGGGGCTTGTGGAGAAGAAGAAGGGGCGCTAGTATTCTTGACTTTCTGATTCGCAATGCAAGATGCATGGGTGCCCTTTTCAGTCCTGTTTATAGTTAGATTAAGGCTACCAGAGATTACCAGAAGGAACTTACCGAACACGAATACGCTCAACCTTCAATTCATTCTGTAGACGTGTCTTGTCTTCAGCAGAGGCAGCGATATACTTTGCAGACTTGTATAACTTCTTTAAGTAGTAGCTCAGATCGCCATGGTCAGCCTTGAGTGCTAAATGAACAGCCTTCTCATCTTCAGTAAGGTTGGAGACGCGGTTGCGAGCTTTGATAGTATTCAAATTAGTGGAGAGTTCTTCAGGTGCCTTGCGTTTCGCCATGCTAAACACGTGATTAGCAGAAGATCATCAGAAGTTCTGACTGTAGAATCAAGATAATAAACTTACTTGAGGTCCTAGTGAAGAGGTAAAGCGCAAAAGAGAAGAAGAATGTGTAGATCGGAACGTAACCAAGGAAGGTGGTTGGTTGTAAGGTTGTTGTTTTTTTAAAGTTGCAAACAATTATATTCGTCAAGGAATATTCACCTGCAAATAATTACTGTTCTAAACAACACTACAACGCGTACCTTCAAATAAAACACATACCTTTCAACCTCTACCTCTTTCTTTACTCTTTCTACAACATCCTTGCTACAAACTCACTGTAAGTACATATATCTTTTGATCTACTTCTTTGTCTTGTGTATACTTCACTAACTCATCTTAATGTTAGCAAATGGCTCGTATTAAGCAAACTGCTAGGAGATCAACTGGCGGCACAGCACCAAGGATGCCACTTGGATTACAGGCTGGCTCTAGGCTTGGTGGAAAGGGAAAGGGAAAGGAAAAGGCTGTGCGCACAGCAAGAAAAGCTCCAGTTCGCTCATCTCAAGCTTGCAACAATCATGCTCAGAAGGCCATGCGCCGTGCAAAGTCTGGTAAGAGGATTACCAGAGGATTACCAGAACTCTCTAATAAACATATAGGCACCAAGGCTCTCCGCGATATCAGAAGACAGCAACTTGATACTCGCCTGATTATTCCAAAGCTCTCATTCCAGCGTCTTGTTAGGGAAATCGCACAAGACTTCAAGTCCAATCTTCGCTTCCAGCAATCTGCTATCCTAGCTCTCCAGGAAGCTGCCGAATGCTTCCTCATTCGAGAATTTGAGAGTATGATACTTGAACATAGTGACAGGGACATACTAACAGTTATAGTGACAAATCTCCTTGCTATTCATGCGAAGAGAGTGACAATTCAGGCAAAGGATATGGTATTGGTTCGGCGTTTGCGGGATATGATGTTTAATCATGGAGCTGTAGGCTTAATCGATGGAAATGTCTCTCACCCAGGAATGAAGGTTAGATAAGTTCTGGCAAAGGTTATAGTGTGGAATAGGATATCAACGACATGGGAATGGAGTTATTGAGTTATGGCGTTTTACGATATCGATATCAATGTGAAGTCACGATCACACCCCCTTTTCAATGACTAATCAAACACGTGATATAACTGGGTTGCCAAGACCTATACTAGGTACCCGGCAAGTGAGTAATCCTCATTCAACAATACTCGGGATATGAGTGAGTAACTCAGCTGGGTGAGTAGAAATTCTACTACTCGACTCATGAGTACCCAGTGCGCAGCCTAGTCATTACAGTATTTGTATTACTAAGATGAAGTACCGTACCCCATTGTCTTACCCTTTGCCACAGATAACTCGCATTCTCAACGTGAGCCGAGGTGCAGGTCGAGACATGGCTGCTATATTTGGCTAATCAAGAGCCTGATCGCTTATTTCGTTAGCAGGTCCCATCAAGTTACACATTTAAAGATTCACATGGGAACAGCACAGAAAAAATAGCGACAGCATTACGGTTTTGCGGATCTATATTAGAGCAGCTAGAGAAATAGACCTAGAGTGACATTAAGTATAAAAGGTAGTGGAACAATATGACTCACACTGCAACTTACCCTGAGTTCTCACTTTGGGACCTTTCTGCTTGAAGGGGTTGCGAAAGCCCCCGACTTACCCTAGTTTAATTCTCAGGGCCGAATTCACAGCTTCAGGGTGACGTAGACAGTACGTACCAGTACGTACTCTCCAGAGTGCCATCAGAACTATCTACGGTGGATCAAGGTGGTCCCGCTCGATCGACAGGGGTTAACTAACACCTCTATTCTGTCCTCGTCACTCACTCGTCCTGTTCCTATTGAACCTCCACCCAATAATCTTCCACCCATTTATCCTCCATCGAATAATCTTCCACCCATTGAACCTCCACCCCATCGGTTACGATTTTTGGCCATTAGCCACCACGAACATCTCATTCGGTCGTTGGCAGTCTCTTCACATTTGAACAGCCAGGTTTCAACAAATGCAAGAGATAGCAGATATAAGCTTAATGAAATGACCTGTCCTGATTCAGGCGAGGATTCAGAGCCTGACTTTTGAACGACGGAATTCAAGTCGCTTATACATCCTCTGCACTATCTAGAGACAACCATAGCAACATATTTGATTTACGTGCATGAACCTGCAATGTTGGCCCAGTGAGTTCATCGGACCACTTGATGGGAAGAGGTTGTCGATGCCATCGGTCATTGGTTAGGGCCTCATCCCGCTACTTGACGCCGTGGCAATATTCGTATCTGCGCACCACTGCTCTCTACTCCCCACTTGCCCTGGATCTTCTGGAATGCGTTTCCGTTGATATGTCGCGTCAGCACCATGCGGCACCATATTTATAAGGATTGGAAACGAATTCATCTTAACACTACTCAGTAAGATTCCATTGAAATCATGCGTAAACCTACAATTTCTTTCTTGGATGGTGGGAAACATGAGTTTCCAGGAGATACATAAGTGTAATAACGCCCCTTCTGATAGATGATCAAAGCAACATCCGCACCGTATAATTCGCCATACTCATATACCTTGTTGGTTAAAGTGCTCCTCCTTCTTGATGCATTCTGACTTTGGCGTTTCCGTGCGTTGCACATGTTGGGATAAAGTATATGATGTTTCTTGTAATTCGAATGGTTGTGGTTAGATCAAGATAGTTGTAGGGTTGTTGCTGGCATTTTATAGTTCGCCTAGAAAACGGTAATTCTGATGTCCCAAGCTTGCGTCATCGCTGGTGGAGTGTGCGCATCCTTGATCCGCCCAATACAGTATAGTGCCACGTGCACTTTATCTGATGGTAAACCACCCGATGGTCCTTTACCTGATGGTATCTACACCACCCGATGAGCTTGTCTTGCAGCACTGCAAAGACGTACTGCACTCTGCAGTCCTGAAGCCTGTATTCTGTTTCTTGTATTGCAGCACTGCAAAGACAGTACTGCACTCTGCGGTCTTGAACCCTGTATCCTGTGTTGTTTTGCAGTACTTCAATCACAGTGTCCACTCTTTAGTGGCGGGCTTGTCCTGCCATATTCTGTCCGAGTCTTCTGAATTCACATGCCGTGTCCTGAATATTTTGATTTGTTGCAGCCGTACGCATTCATATCATTATCGAGGCATTCGCACGTGGACAGAGGGTTCTTTCAGCTGTTTTATGCAATACTAATGACTTCAATCAAACAATACAGTCCATACTCGATTCAACTAAGATAAACTACGCAGCCTCGATCGATCAATTGACAGATCAGGCGTAGGAGAGCATGTTTGCCATCTCTCCTGAACCTCTGAAATCATTCTCAAACTCCTTGCCAACCTCGAGGACGGTCTCTAAGTGAGAATAGCATAGGTGTGTTCCATCGCTGCTTGCTATGGCATGTGCTGAACGCACTGCGTTCTTAATCTATGCGACAGTGTTAGCAAAGGAACCCCATTCGACGGTACTAGGGACACTTGCCTGTCTACCGTTGAGGCTGTGCTTGGCCAGGACGTTCAACTGCTTGTCACTGTACACTGCATCCCCCGTCTCTGTTTTTGTTTCGAGAAAGCTCCTCCAGATCGCTTTTCTCGTATCAACGCCTAAGAAACTGTACTTAATACCAACGTGTATTCTGCTCTGTACTGCTTCATCAAAGTCTCTGACCCGGTTCGTGGTAAGTAACATGATACCCTTATAATACTCAAGCTTCCGTAAAAAGACCGAGACAAGAGAGTTGTGATTAGAGTCGTGTGAGCGCTTGCACAGAAAGTCATCAGCTTCATCGAGGAGAAGTAAAGCCTTCCACTTTTCGGCAACTTCAAACATCTCACACAATTGCGCCTCGAGAAGTTTCGCATCCTTGCTTAAGTTTCCCGCAGAGACCTCCTAGTTAGCACAAATGGGCGCCAGGTTGAACATGGAGGTTCTTACTGTGTACAGAGGCCTTTCGAGGTGTTCCGACAGTCCTTCTGCAGTCATTGTCTTTCCAACACCTGGCGGTCCACTATCGAGCGTGTCAGCCTTGGATATATCGATCGTCATTTCCGTGGACATACTAGAGAAGCATAATCAAGCCACGGCCTTTTCCCTCCACAAAATCATCAAACGTATATTTAGTTTTTCCACTGGACTGGGACGTGGTTAGAGCTTCGATAAGCTTCTTTGACTTGTATGGTATAGCCAGTTGGTTGAAGAGCGACTCGTTCCACGAAATTCCCGAAATATCTGCCACCGCAAATTCCACTAGTACATGATCAGCAATGTTGCCACAGCAGGTGCGCAAGTCTTACACCATAATTTGTCGTTCAAACTGAAGCCCAGCACAGTCGGGCTACAAATTAGAAGATCTTCATCCGTCAGTGCATCAAGGTTTACACTGCTCTCCATAGCCGATTCATCTAGCTTGTTACTAGAAGTTGTATCTCCAAACAGCCACAAATCGATACTGTTAGTGCTCTTGAAGATGCTTGGCCTGGTGTAATTGGGGATTGAGCTCCTGAAACATTGCGGCATCAACCATAATCCTGCTGTTAATAAATATCTCAATGGGTTTGTTTTTCTTCATTTGAAAGGCCTTGCCTCTATAATGTCGATGTTGCGTGCCGATTAGGGAGAAACAAAACTTGCGACCGCATTTCACAAGCGTTTCTCTCATGCTCTCCTCTGCTTCGTGGTATTGGAGAGGGAATGCCTCGAGAGAGTTGATAGTTCTCGATCCGCAGAACCCAAGAATGGCAGTCTCGATTGGAGCTTTCCCAAGCACCTTCCCGTCAAATTCCAAGTATTTTCCTTTGATGTGGAAATAGTCAACTCCAGTTGTGCTTGTTTTCGCTTCGCCAGACTCGAATCTGATGCATCTTGGTTCTTGGTCCCCGCGACAAGTGGTATACACCAATCCGTTTGGTTTGAAAGAAACGGGAGTAAATCGTAAGTTATCTCTCCCGTTTTCAGCAATGAGGCAAGCCGTACTTCCGTCTCCTTGTAGGATAAATGAATATGATTGATAAGTAGGGCAATGTGCTCCGGGATGATGCTGTCCTGGGGATCAACGTGATTCCATTTACGGGACGCCTCGAGATCTGGGAGATAATGGAAGAGGAAATTTCGCTCGACCTTTTGAAAAAGTGAGAAAGTCGATTGTGATAGTTGGATGGGGCATGCTTACGGAGAGGCTTTCCTCGTTGAGACTAATCTCAGGAGCTTGTGCAAGTATAACTCTCAAGGTATCTCGGAGCAATTTCGACTTGATGTCAATATAGATCACTGGCACTTCGGTTTTCTTGACTGGAAACTTCCGTTGGCAGGTACTATTTGTGGGGAGGAGATACCAACTAATACGCCTGCGCTCTATGAAAACGTATTGATCCAGTCCATCAACTTTTTCTTCCGGTTGGTGTTGTTCCTCGATGACATACTTGCACGCCTTTTCATCCCAACTGCACCAGTATCTTGTGAGCCAAGGGAAGGCCTCAGCGGCAGGAAGACTTACACCTCATTGACTGTCTTGTACGTCTGAAACCTTTCTAGAGGGTCTTCGGCTTTAACTTCGTCTGCAGCAGTGAATCATCTCTGTTGGAGCCATGATCAACGTACAGTGTTGGCAGGTGGCTTGATATGCGTGATGGGAGATATAGACAAAAGTAAGAAGCTTGAAGATGAGTGATGATTTGAAGACTGCAGAGGTTGTGATTGAACTTCTGGGGAATCGCACGCCCTTATATACCCCTCAATTCTTCTGCCATCATGCTAACGCAAGACCAATCCCCCTGCAAACCAACAACGGCTGGGGATGAGGGAAGCTGATCCTTCTTCGTTCAGGATCACCAGCAGCCCACGGTTGCAGCATCATGCATTGGCCGATTCAAAAACCAAAAAGGTCCAAGGGTGCATGCAAACAACGCGGGGAGAAGCACATATCTGCAAGACAGTGTTGGGGGGAATGCTGGCGAGATCGATTCACCATGCAGCAGTGTGGAGGAAGCAGCTCATTGAAAATAGAATGTCTCATCCCTGAAGCAATCGACGCACGGCGCACTGGCCCCTAAACCGACAAGAAGGCTTCATCGGTTCATCACGGAGACAACGTGTTAAGGGCGCGTTGAAATAAAAGTCATCTGCGCTCTAGAGGAGTCTTCAGTATTAATAGCATATTAAATACACCCCTTGGATGGACCGGTTGCGCACAATACATGAAGACAACGTCGTAAATCGACACTTCAAAGCAAGTATTAACTGGTATTAACACTGGAAAATCTCATACCATTATGCGAGTGAAGGCCGACCCAGCCTCAACAGCTTGTCCAGTTGTGGTTTCTAGTTGGGCTACAATTTTTTAAGGCATGCCTGCCACTTTCCCATGCGTGCCCCGTTCCCATGCTTCCACTTTTCCATGGTCGCATAGTTCCCTACCTAGCATAATTACCGCTAGGCTGCGCACTACTCGCTCAATACTCGGCTCACTCGCTCAGTGGGTTACTCAGCTGGGTGAGTAGCTGAACCTTTTACTCGACTCGGTGAGTGAGGTCAATACTCAGTTACTCTGTAAAAACCCGGTGAGTACTCGGCTATCACGTGTAAGATTTATGCATCATGTGAACAGTCCCTCATACGATTAATACTGTTTTATGGTTAAGTTAAAGTATTACATCTATTAGCATCACTCTCGCCATCTCTAGTAAGCTGTGAGAACGAATCATGTATATTCCTCTATCTAAGTACCATGATTATCAGAAGATTATTAGAACGCTATTATCTATTATATATGCTTAAGAACATCCCTCCACCTTGCTTGATGAGGCCGGCCAGACCTACTAATACCTAAAGTATTTATAGGGTCTTGATGAGGATCCTCGACTGAGCGGAACGAGCTATGAGTCAAGATAACTGTGTATAGAACTTGTTCATAAAATGTCTCTTGTGTGAGAATATGATCTTATTATAGGTATTAACCTACATAATTCTGGTAATAATCTGGTAATCCTTACTTGTTGAGGTTGCATTTGATTGATTCGCATTTGATAGAGACTATCCTTCCCATCTGTGACTTCTTTTTGCAAATGTCTGATGCAAGATGTGTTGCCATAGACTTTGGGCCAGCAGACTTGATTGCAGGATGCGTAAGGGCCTTCGAACAATAAGTACAAATAACACATGGTTCTCCAGAAAGCCAGTCTGCTCCTTGGTGATAACTTCTCCAGTATTGAGAACTCCAGTTGGTTGAATCCCATGCAATCTTCATAAGGAGTTTTGTAGTATGATCTGAGTGTTGTTCATACCATCGTGATAGCTTCCACCACTCAATGAATATATCGTGTGTATCCTTAGTCCATTTGACGAATTGGTTTAACTTGCCAATATATTCAAGGCCTGCAGGGACTTTGTAAGGATGCCTGTCCCTCAGTGATGGAAAGGATCTGAGTCGGGCAGGTTACGGTCACATGATAAGAGTTAAGGCAGGTTAGCTGAGTCGGACCCGTTTCGGGTACTTAAGGAGATTGACCCAACGGGGGTTCCTCTCTTCATCTTTTTTGTATCCTTC